AAAAAAAAAAAGAATTAAAATCCAATGCAGACTACTCCATGCTAGTATCTGTATGGAAGCCAGAGGAAAATCTAGCCATGTTGAGTAATCTAACTTTAAATTCATAATTTCAAACTTTAAGCGTTCCCTTAATGCTACCTGGCAATTATAGTATTATTTATAGAAGATTGTTCTTTTTTTTTTTTTGGTACTGGCTGGGGATGTCTAAATCCCCAGCTATAGAAGATTGTTCTTATACTTTTGTCTTTTCTTTCAAAATATCATCAGCTTCTTCCCAATCCTTCATCTCATCCATGATCTTGCTTTTTTCACCACTGGAAAAATTAGAGCAATTGCTTCTGACTTTTTTAACCCCTTTGTTTTTTACTTCTAGACCAAAAAGAAAAAAAAAACAAACCTACTTCATAATTATAGCTAATAGGCATATATTCAGTAGGAAAGCAAAGTCCTAAATACTAATAGGAAGCTTATGAACTAAATGTTTAAACTTCATGAGAAAGGTGTACCCTGGTTTCAAAAAATCTCTTCATGAAAAAAAAATCTCTTCATGAAGGATTTTCTCTATTTCCACTTGTACTTTTTTCACTTGTGGAGTTACAATTTATAAAAGTTTTTTCTTCCAAAGGTAACAGTGTTAAAATACAGCATATCCATGTATGTTTCCTTGGGTGTGTTTTTAGAGTTAAAATATCATCAAGTAGAAAGAAAGGAAACTAACTTACTGAGTACCTTCATTGTTCCAGGTAGAGTGCTAGATAGACACATTAACTTATTTAACCTCAGAATAACCCTATAATATTGTTTTATTATCCATTTAAAATAAGGAAGCTGAAACTCAAGTTAAGTTATGAGATGCACCATTTAGACATGATCTAAAACTGGAGGGTTTTTTTTTCTTCAGTAACATAACTACTAGAAGTTCTTCTGTTGTTTTTTTTTGGGGGGGGTACCGGGGATTGAACTCGGGTCCTTGTGCTTGCACAGGAGGCAGTCAAACCACTGAGCTAAATCCCCAGCCCTTAGAAGTTCTTCTGATACCACATATCATTGCATTTGGATGGTCCAGCACCTAATTTCTCATTGCTCAAGTTCATAGAGCACTAGTTGGATTTCTCATACTTTCCTTATAGCCATTTCTTTTTTTATATATAAAACTATTTATTGGCCACTGCTCACCATTATTTACAATAAAGTAAGCAATATGTAGTAGGATAACATTCTGGCTACTACAAAGTTATTTTTCTGGCTTCTGCTTCAGAACAGTAACCCGAATACTGAAGATTGAGCCTACATGTAAGAAACAAGTTGGGGTCAAGAAAGACATGCAGGTCAATAATTTAAATTATAAGTTTGTTCACTCATTTATTCTAGCAAATCCTAAATTGTGACCACCTCTAGCCACTCAGTAGATTTCCATGAGCCAAGTCTTAGACATCCATGAATCCTGACTTTGAATACAGATTTCAACTTGTTGTAAGGGAATGGGTCATGAGGAATCTTTAATGTTCCCTTAACAAATCTCCCTTAGCTAATTCAAACAAACCAGGTTTTGACTAGTTACCTTATTTGGATAGAGAAGTTGTTGGTAGTGATACAATTCTTTTCAGGAATTTTGCAAGCAAACTGCTGTATTTTTGTAACTAAACACACATATATGGATTCTGATATGGCTGCTTTGAAAATACCCACTTTAAGCTGTCCAATTAACCACAGAATCATCTATTTAACTTGAAAGGTTATGGCTTCAGGAAAACTTTCAATTTAACTGTGATTTATTTCTTAGGTTGCTCAGAATGATACCATCTCAAACATGGGCATATCACCCATAGTTTTTGTTTTGGTGAATGTTTAAAAACAAAAACCATTTACATAAGTATTTTATTTATACACACACAAACAAAAAACTCAGAATGGTCCCTTAAACATGTGAGCTAAAAATGAGTTCTGTTTGAGTTTGACTATGGATAATTTTCCCAATATTTAGAAAAGCAGAGGAAATATATCAGGCTATCAAATGCTGTTTTCTGATAAAGGAAGCAATTACAGAAAGCTTTTTATTTGTTCAAAGTAACCAGTGCTATTGATGCAAAACAAACAAAACCCAACAACTTCCGCAAATACTTTCAAAACCAACATACTAAACTTGATTTTCATTAGAATGCTGTTTTTTTCAGACTAGTGTATCAAAAACCAAGACCCATATTTTATATATATATAAATATATATAAAATGATGTAAGTTATTGAGCTTCATCTTCTGGACAAGAATGCCAAGTTAGTCTCTCTTCATAAAAAGCAATTAAACAATTTGAGGACATTTCATATTTGCCCCTTTTGCCAGCATCAAGTCATCCTCATCTGAATCTTTTTATTTCATGAGAAACAACAATTCTCCACTACTCTCTGTGGCACCAATTATTCATTCAGGATCAACACCTCTAGCAAATCCTCTAGGTTTGTCAGCAGCATCTCTTTTCCTTTGATTTGCTATGATTAGATTCGCTGTCAGATAAAGATTTCTTTTTGTACTGTCTTTTTCTTTACCAACTTTTTGAGAATTAAGAAATGCTTCAATTAATTCTGGACAATCTAAATTTTCTTCAGGTTCCCATGTATTGTCAGCATCTGTAAATCCCTTCCACTTCAGAAAATACTCCACCTTCCCATTCACTACACGACGATCCAGTACTTTTTCTACCACAAATTCTTCAAGCTCTGCTTCCTCAACTTTTTTACTTTTTCCATTTTGGTTTTTTTCCCACTTTTTGCAATGTAGTTTTATTGGAGTCCATTTTTTATTGCAGACTTGTAGAGCTATGATTCACTGCCTGGGATGCTTGCGTCGCGGGTCCGCAGTGTCTCGGCCTGCGTGCCTGCAGCTGCGCTCACATCCGAGGCCTTATAGCCATTTCTGAATCTTTTTCACATTGAAGAAGATGGAACATTTCAGCTGCCTTGTTCTAAAACTTTAGTATTACTTTGGCCTATTTCTCCCTGTAGCCCTGTTTCCACTTTTAGGCTTGATTACCCACAGTGACTCTGAGACAATAGTGAAATGTTTCTGGAAAAACTGGTGAGTTTAAAGCCTCTCATAAAATTTTAAAGGTTACTAAGAAATTTTTATTATTGTACTTATTTATGTAGTAGTAAAAGATGTTAAACCCTTCAATATTTATTATATTATAGTAATGCTTCATTTATTCACCTTCAGCAAGGAATTAGTAGTTGCTCATAAGTTAAGAAATAAAGGTGGAGTATATCTCTTATTGAGTACTAAAACTTTAAAACAAAACAAAAAATTAGTAGAAATACTCTGAAATATATATTTTCTTGACATTTCTACCTTCTTTGGGTTATTATACTCATCTGTTATTATACCTTGCTAAAATGTAGTCCTATCTTAATACAACTTTGAGGTATATAGAGCCTGTTGGTTTATTTTTGGTTTTTTTTTTTTGGTTTGTTTGTTTGTTTTGGTACTGGAAATTGAACTCGGGACCTTGCGCTTGTGAGGCAGGCAGCGACACTACTGAACAAGGCAGGCAGCGGCACTACTGAGCTAAATCCGCTGCCCTTATTTTTGTTTTTTACTAAATAACTACAGACTGCTGAACTTCTTGAGTTCTTCTATGTGGTTTTTTGGGGGGTGGGCGGGGGGTGGTACCGGGGCTCAAACTCAGGAACTTGTGCTTTCAAGGCAAGCGCCGGAACCACTGAGCTAAATCTCCGGCCCATTGTATGTGTTTTTATATTTTTTTTTCTCCAGCTCCTTTGCTGACAAGCTGTCAGCTCTTGGTAATGTATGTCAGTCTTTTTTTATTCTTGTCTAAATATCTGTTTCATATCTGCTCTAATACTAGAAAACAATTGGTCAGCTAGAAATTGTTGGCCAAAAATAAAAGAAGATAAAAATTGTTTAGCTGGGATTTTAGAAATGTAAAAGTACTCGTCTGATTTAATAGCTCTTAAGTAAGTTGGGTAATGGACATAATGAAGATTCAATAAAACAGCAATAGATTATCTATACATAGATATTATACATGCATACATAATTTCATACATCATGTCAGAGGTTTTATGGTTTTCCTCAAGTTCACCCATGGACTCCAGATTAAAATCTTCTTGAACTAATCCAAATTTAAGTTACTTACATGTATACATACAAACAAACATTCATTCATTCATTTATGGTGCTGGCATTTGAACTCAGGAGCTCATTCATCCTAACACAGACTCTGAGGTATACCCCAACCCCCTTACATTTAGGAAAGAAATATTTCTACTTGCAAACCCAGTTTAGAAATCTTTGAAGGCCAAAAGAACAAAAACCAAATGTTGGCTCAAAGGAATATAAACACTTCCTACCATTGCAGATAATATTAACAGTTTTTGTCTTAGTGACTACCACTTTGGAATTACATACAAAGGGATTTTAAACTGCCTCTTGGTATGTTTGTATAGCTAGAAATAGAGGAGCTTCATATTGAAATAAGCTCAGGATTGCCTGAGAGTTGGTAAACTTGGCCTTTTCACTATTGATATCTAGTTATATTGCCTCAGACAAATTCACCTAACCTTCCAGTTTCCTCACCTGTAAAGTAGGAGCTGTAAAATATAGAAAACTCTAGCCCTGTCCCCTACTTTTATGTTTTAATATACTGTCTTGCTGTGTAATCCAGGATAGCTTTGAAATCATTGTGCAGCCCTGGCTAGTCTCAAACCTGTGATCCTTCTGTCTCAGCCTCCCAAACGCTGTGATTATAGACATGCACCATTAAGCCCACCTTCTAGTTCCCTTTAAAGCTAAAATAGATAATACGAATAATATAGTTTTAGGTAAAAAAGAAGTATTTTGGCTCCCTTTTTTATAAAAATGGTCTTTATAATGAATATTTTGATTGTTGGCTTCTTTATTGTCTGTTTCAGATCATAGAAATTCTACATGAATGAGGTGCCCATCCTTGGATGTCCTCAATACATACAAAGCTTTGTAAAGTTACATGTAGTTAGATTGAAAAGAATTCTAGACTTGTTAAATATTGCTAGGTAGTATATTTGTGTTTAGTGGAATGTAATGTGTAAAGAAATAGTCTTTTAGTTGGAGAGTTTAAAAAAATACAGTAGGTAATTTAAAATTCTGATGGACAGTTTGCTGATATTTGTCCTTATATAACTTGCAGGCTTCGTTTAGTTAGAGACAAATCTGTTGGTTTTAAGTTTTCTAATTACTATTCTATTATTTGTTTTTAATTAGGCAAATAAAACTGGAGATGGATCAGTACAAAGAAGAGCTGTCCAAAATGGAAAAAGAAATAATGCATCTTAAACGAGATGGAGAAAATAAAACAATGCATCTCTCTCAATTAGATGTGATCTTAGATCAGACAAAGACAGAGCTAGAAAAGAAAACAAGTGCTGGTAAGCAGTGGTTATCTGAGTATTATTGCCTGCATATTTGTATTTGTATTTAAGAAGTGAAATAAGGCGAGAATTTGAGATGGTAGGGCTAGAAGGGATTAAGGATAGTCAGTATTTTGTCTCTTATAGATAAATTACATTGGATATTCTTAATTATAGTTATTTTTTACAAAGTTCTTAATAACAGATGTCTAAAGTTTTTCCCTCCTCATCATAGTGAAGGAGTTAGAGAAGCTACAGCAGCACTCGGAAAATGAGCTGACAGAAACCCTCCAGAGAAGAGACGTTCTGGAGACTGAGCTGCAAAATGCTCACAGGGACCTGAAAAGTACTTTAAGACAGCTGCAGGAATTGAGAGATGTACTACAGAAAGCCCAGTTATCCTTAGAGGAAAAATACACAACTATAAAGGATCTCACAGCTGAACTTCGGTGAGTTAAATAAGAAAAAATATCACAATTGCAGGTACCTCCTTTATTACTCTAAGTCCTCTGGTCATATAGTAAAATTTGCTATTGAATTCTAGATGTAAAATCTTTTCAACGGCCTTTACCTTACCCTGGCTCATCCTGGTCTGCCCATTCCATGTTCCATCAAACTAATTCAGCTGTTGCAATAGGTCATTAATACTTCCATCCTTAGTCTTTGGACCATTTTACACTGGCCCTAACGGAAAAAAAGAAAGTAGTGGCTAATAGCAAAATAATATTAATAATATTGTTTTTTGTATTAAGCCCATATTTTATGTTAGAACTATAATTTGGATGTCACGTACATCTCATTCACTTCTTTACAACAAAGCTGTCATATATGTATTGTTGCCCTTTTTTTTTTGGTACCGGGAATCAAACTTGGGTCCTTGCGCTTGCGCAGAAGGCGGTGAAACCACTGAGCTAAATCCCCAGCCCTATTGTTGCATTTTTATAGTTGAGAAGACAGGCTTGAGAATTAAATAAAATATCCAAAGTAGGTAGGGGTCAAAAAAAGGAATTAAAGACTGAGCATGTATAGCAAATGCCTGTGATGCCAACACACTGGGAAGCTGAGGCAAGAGGATCACAAGTTTGAATCCAGCTTGGGCAGCTTAGCAAGACCCTGTCTCAAAACACAAAAAGGACTTGGTAAGATATAGCTCAGTATGAAGGCCCAGGGTTCAATCCTCAATACTATAATAAAGAGTGTATATGTGTGTGTGAGAGGGTAAACATAAGTCTGTCCAACTCTGAAATCTGAATTCTAGATTAGCAATGATAGCATAAAGTGCTGTGTCAGGGGGCCAGGGATTTAGTTCAGTGGTGCCGGCACCTGCCTGGCAAGTGCAAGGTCCTGAGTTCAATCCCCGGTACCAGAAAAAAAAATGCTATGTCAGTTTGTATCTATACTAAATGAAATTGGAGAAGTAAAGCAGAGCCAAAGTATTCCCATAAATCCAGAAAAAGAAAAGAGAATTATAAACTAGATGTGAAATATGAGCATAAAGACTAGTAATGTCCCCATCTCTTCTATGTCCACCAACTCATCCTTAGTAAATTTCATATTGCTTTAAATACTGTGTGAGAGACATTTGAACCCATTTTTCCAGCGTTGACCTCTTCCTTAAACTCCAGATTCAGTATCCAACTTACATGCTATCTCCACTTGGATTTTTTTTTTTTTAAGTACTGGAGATCTAACCCAGAGTGTGCCTGGCTACATCCCCAGCCCTTTTTTTTTTTTACTTTGAGAAGACTGGTCTCAAAGTTGTAATCCTACTGCCCTGGTCTCTGATGTAGCTGGGATTTCAGGCATGCACTTGACTCCGTTAGGATATTTTAAAGAGACATCTCAAACTTGGTCAAAATACAACTCCTTTATTTCCTCATAACCTGTTCCTCCCCATCTCAGTATTAGGCAATTGCTCAAACCAGAAATCTTTACAATTGTTGTTATTATTATTATATTTTTCCATCTAGTTTGCTAGTAGGTCATGTCAGCTTTATTTCCAAAACAAATTATAAAATTCATTGATTTCCTGGCCTCTTTTCTGTAGCCATCATAGTGCAAGACATCAAATCTCTTACCTAGTTGATTGCCGTGGCTTCCTAACTGGTCTTTCTTCTTACATTCTTGGCTCCTCACCTCTACCCCCACAGTCTGGTTTCCACAGAATAGATAAATGATTTAAAACACAAACAAATTATATCATACTACTTTTCTACTTAAACTTTCTAATGGCTCCCAAAAAATTCAGAATAAAATTCAAACTCCTTAGGAAATGAAAATCAGAACCACAATGAGATACCCCCTGGGATAGCCATTAAAAAATATCATAAGTGTTTTGTAAACACATAAAGAATTTAAAAATATGTATTCAAACAAAAATTGAACACAGATGTTTATAGCACCTCTATTCACAATAGCCAGAAAGTGGAAAACAACCCAGATGTCCATCAACAGATGAATGAATAAATAAAATGTATACTTGCATCCTTACAAGCAGTATTATTCAGTCATAAAAAGGAATAAAATATTGATGCATGGTCTACAAAGTTGAGAACATTGTGCTAGTGAAAGAAGCTAGACTTATGTTGCATAATTCTATTAAATTTTCAGAACTGGCAAATCTATAGAAACAGAAAATAGATCACTGGTTGGCCAGGGGTTGGTGGAAGAAATAATGGGAAGTAACTGCTGATGGATAGGATGTTTCCTTTTGTGGTGATATAAAAGTACTGGAAATATATAGCAATAAGATTGCATAACATTGTACTTGATGCCACTTAATTATATACATTAAAATCGCTAAAATGTCAGTCATTTTCTTAATACATTTTTCTTTAATTTGACCTCTCAATATGAGTTACTTTCATATAATCTATTCCTCTTAATTTATAGGAAAAGTAACCCAAATGGTTAACTTTTTAGAGCTATATATTCCTGTCTGTTTGGATCTTTTTTCTTTGATAAATTACAGAGATTGCAAGATGGAGATTGAAGACAAAAAGCAAGAACTCCTTGAAATGGATCAGGCACTTAAGGAGAGAAATTGGGAACTAAAGCAAAGAGCAGCTCAGGTTGATTTTCTTAATTATATTTTAATGAAATTTTTTATTATGACAGTCATACAGGGTTTTAGAAATCACCAATTTGGTATAAAGTGGAATTTTTATATCATTTTTATGGATATAAATATTTTCACATTACAAATATATCTTCTTTTTTATCTTGATATATTTTATAGCACATAGGTTTTGAGAATATTGATTAGCCTAGTATGAGTCTTTTGATCTTTCATTTTACTCTGTATCTCAAGAAAATAATTTAAAAAGTTACTTTCTCAGCTAAGTGTTGGAGGAACATAAATTCCAAAGACATTACTTAGAAGTTTTTATCCAATATGAAATTAAGTTTGAATCACTTTGTCATTTATGAACATAATTTCTCATGATCTTCAGTTTCTGTAACATATTTGGGTCTCAAGCCCCAATATTAGTAAATAATGATTTATTTTCCTGTTTTAAAAAATTGTTTATTTGAGATGAGTTTATCTTTTAGTTATACCTATTCTAAACAATTCCAGGTCATTCAAGTTTTCACATCAGTATAAACTGAATAGTAGTTTAATATTACTTTTGTATTTAGGTTACACATTTGGATATGACTATTCATGAACACAGAGCAGAAATGGAACAAAAAATAATTAAATTGGAGGGTACTCTGGAAAAATCAGAATTGGAATTTAAAGAATGCAACAAACAGGTAATTAATTTAAAATTACATGTTTAAAAAATTTTTTAACTCTGTAACTATATGCACCCATTCACAAAGTATGGCATTTTTTAACTTATTTTTTCTTTAAAGATGGGATCTTGTGTGGCCTAGCCTGTTTTTGAACTCCTGAGCTCAAGCTGTTCTCCTGCCTTAGCATCCTGTGTAGCTGGGGCATACAGATGCACATGACTGCACCTGAATATGCCATTTTTATACAATACATATGATAAAAGCATTACATAAGTCAGGTGTGGTGGTACACACCTGTAATCCCAGCACTAGGCAGGAGGAATACAGCTTGAGAACAGCCTGGGCAATTTGATGGCTTAGGGAGATCCTGTCTCAAATAGAGGTATGTGGCTCAGTGAATGCCTTGTGTTCAATCCCCAGTACTACCAAAAAAAGCCAAACAACCATAGTTTTCATCATCTTGTATGTGCTGTTTATTAATTTTTGTCTTCTTAATGTTGTTTTGAATGTAATTTTTCTTGTATCAATGTGTCCATGTTCTTATTATCATATGTGTATGTCTGAATATATATAACATTTCTGGAAACTGCCTTTTAGGAAGGAACACAATGGTAAGGAAACATTGCTTGCTCTATTTTTACTTGATACATGTATTACCTATAAAATTATTCTGAAGGTAATATGCATTTGGTATTTTAATGCACCTTTCTTATACAAATTGTGATTAAGATTTTGGTGTATATGTAAGCATCTTATTAAAGAGTACAAGAATTCTAATGCTGGCTTTCAAATTATGATTTTTTCAAGAAAAATAAATTTTTATACTTTGCTTTTGATATTTTAAATGAGTGTTCAAAACTGACAGAACAGAGCTATGAATAAATTATGTTTCCTTAGTTATATAATAATACTTGTCTGTTTAAAATTCAGATAGAAAGTTTAAATGAGAAATTGCAAAGTGCCAAAGAACAGCTTCGAGAGAAAGAGTTTATAATGCTACAGAGTGAGCAGGAGATAGGTCAACTGAAAAAAGAAGCTGAAAGAACACAACAGAGGATAAAAGAAATGGAAAAGGTAAGCAAATTATTTTCTACCTAAGGAAAAGGTAGCATTCTACAAAGTATGAAATGAATTTTTTTCCCAAGCTGGTTTTAATATGTAGAAGTTTAGCCTCAAATATTTTTAACCTGCTTATTTGTTCCAGATGCTTATTAGTTTCTTTGACCTTATAAAATATTGTATTATGGAGCTAGGCCTAGTGACACACACCTGTAATCCCAACACTCAGGAGGCTGGAGCTGGAGGATCACCATGAGTTCAAGGCCAGCCTGAACTATATAGGAGACTCTGTCTCAAAAAACCAATAAATAAATAAAATATTGTATTGTGATGGTTTAAGTATGGGCAAGGACAGTATCTGTTTATTATATATCTTTCACATGTTATCAATCATGTAATAAATCCACAATTTATACTTTTTTGGTTAATAAATATTTATTGAGAATCTACTATTTTAAAAAGTGGAAGATGCAGACGTTAGTAAAAAACAGTCTTTTGTCCCTGAGGCACTCCATCCAGAGAATGGGTAAACAGTTGATGATTGAGCATTATTGAGGTCAGTGCATAGTGTTATTTGATGAAGTTTGATGACTTCATAACATCAGTTTATATATGTGTTGACTGGTGAGTCTATTCAACCAAATTTGCCTTCTTAAAAAGTGAATTTGTTTCTATAAGCCCTAATGAATAGAATCTTTTCTTGTTTTCAAAGACTCAAATTTTGAAACTTCAGATGCAGTATAGCTCTTTACTGTGTTTGACCAATTGTCTGGCTCCCCCTATATAATACAGACTCATAAGAACAGCAGCATGAATATGTATTTGTTGAAAATATATATAGATATAGATATCTATAGATAGATAAATACATAGATAGATAGATACATAGATAAATCTATCTATATATATCAAGAAGTGTTTCTGAGTGCAAATTTGGGCCCCAAACTTGGGTGGGAGATAATGATTACTAACCCTATCATTACTAGATAATCATTACTAGTCCTAATAAGAAATGGCTAAAAAATATATTATAGCACTTATATTAGTTTTACAACCTGAGCCTTCATTCAAACATTAGGGACCTAGGGATTTGTACTGGTTTATTTTCCTCTTCTTTGAAATCAAGGGTCAATACCTACTTCCTAACCTATCTCACCCAGCTGACATAGAACAGATTTAATTTTGATTGATTTTTTTTTCTCTAAGAAACAATAAAGTTTGAATATTCCTTATCCAAAAGGCTTGAGGCTAGAACTGTTTTGGATATTGAATATCTTTGGGTTTTGGAAATTTGTTTATACATAATGAGATATTTTGAGGATAGGACCCAAATATCAGCATGAACTTCATCTGTGTTTCTAATACCCTATATATGTATTAGGTTATACAGATAACCTATAGATAATTTTATATAATTTTTATACAATATTTTTAGTAATTTGGTGCATAAAACAGATTGGTGTGGAATTTTCCGCTTGTGTCATAGTGGTACCCAAAAAGTTTCCTATTTGGGGGGATATTTCAGATTTTGCGTTTTCAGGTTAGGAATATTCGATCTGTACTTTACAAGGGACTTAACTGAGAAATGTAAAAACATTTCCAAGGAAATAATAGCCCCAGTGACAAGTTTTACCTTCACTGAGAATAAGGTCATAACCTTAACCCAAATGACAGGACTAATGGTGGATTTTAATTATCCATTTCAATATATGCTCCATTTTTAATATGGATAATCAAATGTTAACATTCCTTTTTTTCTATCTATACCTTTATATATTCTTTCATAAATGTTACATTCATAAAGATAATGAATTATACAGCATATATATATCCCCCCTGGTACCAGGGATTGAACTTGGGTTCTTGTGCCTGCGAGGCAGACGGCAGAACCACTGAGCTAAATCCCTGGCTCAGCTTGTATATTGATGTCTTGCAAAATAAATCAAGGGTTCCAGATTTATTATAATACTTTCGTCATTTTCTCATTAAAGGTTTTTCCCTGAATTAGCATTTTTGCAGTGGTGACAACATATGGTAAATTTTAAAGGGATTTAGTTGAGGGGAGAAATTCACTTATTAAAAGGAAATCATGGCCAGGTGTGTTGGCTCACGGCTGTAATCCCAGCACTTGGGAGGCTGACGCAGGAGAATTGCTGTGAGTTAAAGGCCAGCCTGGACTACATAGGAAGACCCTGTCTCAAAAAGAAAAGAAATCAGAATAAGAAATTGACTATAACTATATATTTAATTTCAAAACCTACAAATGGGCCAGAAATTTAGCTCAGTGGTTACACCGCCTGCCTTGCAAGTGCAAGGACCCAAATTCAATCCCCGGTAGCAAAAAAAACACACAAAAAAACCCCTACAAATATCTGTGCTTTTCAGGTTATGAAAGAGCAGGAACAGTACATTGCCGCACAGTACAAGGAGGCCAGAGATTTGGGACAAGAATTGAGGCTAACCCAAGAGCAGTTGCAGAATGCTCACACAGAATTGGTGGAAGCTCATCGTCAGCAAGTCCAAGCACAGAGACAAATAGAAAAGCTCACCAGTGAACTAGAAGATATAAGGCAGCTTTCTAAAGAGAAAGTAATCCCTATTCTAAATTATTTCATTTAACTGAAAATCTAAAAAAGTTTTATATGTTTTGAACTGTATTGTATAGTTCTTAGAAAAAATGAACTGTGTTGCACAATAGGAATGTACTTAATGCTGCTAAATTACATACTTAAAATTATAACTTTATGTCATACGTATTTTACCACAATTTTAAAAAAGAAAAATAGTTAACTCTGTTGTACTTACATAACTTTATAATATTACTAGGGAGTCCCTCCGAACTCAGTTTTGGCCAAGACTAATTAGTACCTGATAAATTGAATTACAAAGCACTTTTAGACTTTCTTTTATTTTTAAGAGTAGTAAAAATTTATTGAAAGATAGCTTCTGCCTAAGAGAGGCAGAAAGGGGACCAGAAAATGAGTTGCCCACCTCTTTTAGACTTTCAAGTGAATATGAACTACTACTTGAAGAAAATTAAAGCTAATAAATCTTTTTTTAAATAAAAGTTTTTACATTTGTAGCCACTCTTATACATGAAATAAAAGCATTTCTGGTAATCTTAAGTTTTCAACATTGGGAAATCTACAATTCAGAACCCTTGGAAAGAAGTAAAATGCTTTTTAAAAAGTCTATTTTTATGCTAATACCATGCTAGTTTTGTTTGTACTGCAGTTGACTACAGGTTACTGAAACCTCAGAACAAAACCAACAAAAGCAAAACTCCATTCACTTAAGAGGGGAGTATGTATATAATAAAAGTATGTAATTAAAATCATAGTCATACCCAGCATAAACTAGAATAAATAAAAACACAAATCAACTTGATAAGTAAATAATGCTTCTGGAGAGCAAAAATACAAAGGCATACCAAGGAGTACACTTTTATATGCCAAATATAGATGATTATCTAAAGTTCTGTACCCCATGGTTATTAGTTTGTTTCACAGAAAGCATTGGTTAGAAAACTAGCATTATGATAACAAACAGTATGCCATTACTTTCAATTTTACTTTAGACCTTTTTGAAAGGTCTAAGTTTTAAAGTGTACCATTTAATAAGCTAATTTTGAATGTTTATATAAAAATTAAGCTGCTTGCATTAATCCACTGGATTTGTTTAGATATGATAACCAAATAAATTATATTGCCTTTACTCAATATAATTTTTAAGGAAGCTCACAGAAATCATTTAGCTGAAGAATTGGGGGCATCTCAAGTACGTGAAGCTCATTTAGAAGCAAGAATGCAAGCAGAAATCAAGAAATTGTCAGCAGAAGTAGAATCTCTCAAAGAAGCTTATATGGAGGTAAAGAAAATTTTAAATTATTCTACTATCCCTCATAAAAATGAGTTGACCTATCTGGACAGAAGTATGAGTTTAGCTCTTAAGTGTTCATTATAGAATGATACATTGTGGTCTTCATTTATGATAGCTAAACATACAACTTTTATTTCATATCTACTGAGCTAATATACTACTGCACAGTATAAGGTTAAGAGCTTGAGTTCCTAATCCAGACATTTTTGGGTCTAAATCCTGGCTCGTCATTAAGCATCTACATGATCTTAGCCAAGCTACTTAACCTTTCTGTCTAAAGTAGATATAATAGGGCCGGGGATTTAGCTCAGTGATTCTGCCACTTGCCTCGCAAGCGCAAGGACCCAAGTTCGATCCCCAGTACCAAAAAAATAAATAAAATAAATAAAGTAGATATAATAATGGTATCTGTCTCATAGAATTGTGAGGATTAAATAAAGTAACACATGTAAAGTTCTTAGACCAAAGCGTGGTTTATCATTATTATCAATTATAAAATGGCACTTGCAAAAAACTGACTGGAAATATTTGGTAGCTAATATAAATAGTTTTATATGATGTTAATCTATAGTGCTTTGTAATTTGAAACATTTTTTCTGATAGTAAGTTAGGCAATACTAAATTTTTTAATCTATCATTATATCTTGAGCCTTTATTGAAATGAGGAATACTTTTTTTTTTAAAGACAGGGTCTCACTATGTATTCCAGGCTGGCCTTGAACTCGCTAGGTACCCCTGGCTGGCCTCAAACTCACAGTGATCCTCCTGCCTCAGCCTCCCAAGTGCTGGGATTACAGGCATTTGCTACAACACCCATCTGAAATGGGGAATAGTATCAATTAAAATAGTGTTTTTCATCTTAACTATATATGAGGATATTACCCAGAGTCTTTGTATATGATCTAAACAAGTTACTTACTGAACTTGGTACTAATAAAGCATTTTTCTGTATAACAAGGATTGCAAATACATTTGTATTAAACTCTTTTTGAGGGAGTTGGTAATGTTTTTATGAGGGATTGATGGGGCTTGTAATAACTATGTCTTGCTTAAGTTCGTTTAGATTCGGCCTTGCAAAACAAAATATATTTGCAAGTTGAATTCAGTTCTTAAGCCAAAACATTGTAATCATTGGTCTTTAGATTTAAATGTGAATGGTTTTGGATTGAGCATAGTTATTTAATTGATTTTAGCCGCTTCATTTAATAATGAATAATAAGTCCATCTCATGTATTTGCCCTTAACTGCTTGTTACACATTTATTATATGGTCTTTAATTTTATTTTTATCTCTAGTAATTTTATTTTTAATTATTTTATTTTATCTGTAATTACTTTGTTTCATAAGCTACCTAAAATTTTATATGAAAGTATATAAAATAAGTTGTAAAAACTGATTCTAATATTGCTGTTTATTAAGTATTTGGTACTAATATTTCTATGCCTGACAAAGTATTTCATAAAATATGTAATGTATTTTCCTGCTTTTATTACTGACAAAAATTTATTTTTAAAGTATGTATATTGTTTGAATATAAAAATGAGTGTAAGGTATTAAAGTAATGGAGAGTTAAAAGAGGGATCAATAATTTTTACTAGAATTTTTAAAATGTGGTTTTACAATTGTCAGAAAAGTCATTTAATAATTGTAAAACTTTTTGGCAGGGGGTACCTGGGATCAAACTTGGGTCCTTGCGCTTGCGCAGCAGGCAGCAAAACCACTGAGCTAAACCCCTGGCCCAAAACTTATTATTTTGGGGGGTGATAATGAGATTGTTTAAACATTTTGTTGTGGTAAAATCTATAGATGATCAAAAATAGAAGGGCTAGGGATGTAGCCCAGTGGCACCACGCCTGCCTGGCAAGCACAAGATCCTAAATTTGATCCCTGGTACTGGAAAAAAAAAAAAGAGTAGTATAAGTGGTATAATCTCCCCCATGTTTATAATTTAACTTCTCTAATTATCAACTTATGGCCAATTTTATTTCACAAATGTGTTGACCATTTCTTTTATTAAAAGGAAATACTTTAGGGGAGGCCGAGCTCCGTGGTCCCACTGCCTGCCTCGCAAGCACAAGGACCCGAGTTCGATCCCCGGTACCAAAAAAAAAAAAAAAAAATACTTTAGGGAATAAAAAGAGATGCTGTTAGTAATTAGACCAAGACACCAATTATAAAACCCAGATGCTTCCAGACATACTGGGAAGTGTGGTTAACATGTTTTTAACCTCAGTCACTTCCCTCCCTATTTTTCCCTCAGTATTCAAATATTTCTTTTTAAGCAAAACACTTATTGGTTTTATATATATATATATATATAACATTCACCATAGGGAATTTGTACTTGTATGTGATATATCTTTCTTCTTTTTTTACCATTCCCCCCTTGACCTCTCTTTCCCCTCCATATTTACATGTTTCCATTTTTTTGCTTCTATTCTCTTGTCTCTTCTTTCCTTTCCCCCTCCTTTGTTCCTCTTCTCATTTGAACATTTTCTTTCCATTTCCCAGTATCAATTATACATTTTCATCCTTATTTACACTTTCTCTTTCTCATACCAGAAAAACAATGTGGTATTTAAACGTGTGTGTCTGATTTATTTTATTTAGGAGTATGGTCTTGAGGTGCATCCATTTAGCTAGAAATGTCTCAAGCTCATCCTTCTGTATGGCAGAATAGTACTCCATTATATAAAAAAAATATATCTTTATCCATTCATTGATTGGTGGGCATTTGGGCTGTTTCTAAGATTTAACTATTACAAACTGTGCCACTATAAACACATGGGTGTGCATGCATCACTGTGGCTTGATGCTTTTAATTCTCTTGGGAAGATGCCAAGAATGGGAATGGCTGGGTCAAATGGAACCTCTAGTTTTTGTTTTTTGAGGAATCTCCACACTGATTTCCACAGTGATTGCGCTAGTCTACATGTCCACAAAGAGTGGAGAAGTGCTCCTTTTTTCCCCACAGCCCCACCAGCATTTGTTTTTGGTTGATTTCTTGATAAGAACCATTGTTTCTAGAGTGAGATGGAATCTCAGTGTTGTTTTAATTTGCATCTCTCAAATGACCTATGATGTTGAACATTTTTTCATAATTTGCCATTTCTACTTCTTCATCTACGAAGTATCCATCAAATATTTATTTTGATGCAAATTCCAGACATCATTTCACTTGTAAATTTTTCAAGAAGTATTTCTAAAAGAGGACTATTTTTAAAAATCCTAACAGTAGCATTATCATACAAAAATTTCTTAATATCATTAAATATCTATTGTTCAGATTTCCACATTTGTCTCAAAAATGTCTTTATAGGATCCAAATGGAGTCCTTTGCATATGACTGTTAAGTAAATTTAAGACTTTCTTTTGATTCTCTCCCATTTTCTCTCTAGTATTTTATTTGTTTAGAAATCAGGTGTTCATAGCTGCAGACAGAATTTACTTTCTTTTAGGAGAAAGTAAGTGGTCGTAGCAAGTATGACAGTGTTCTTGAAACCAAATCACCTTCTTTTCTTGTGTGTGTGTGTGTGTGTGTGTGTGTGTGTATTTTGGAACTTTATACAGGTAATTTCACATCAAGAGAACCATGCCAAATGGACTATTTCTGCTGACTCTCAAAAGACTTCTGTTCAGCAACTAAATGAACAACTAGAGAAGGCAAAACTGGAATTAGAAGAAGCTCAGGACACTGTAAGCAATTTACATCAACAAGTTCAAGACAGGAATGAAGGAATTGAAGCTACAAATGAAGCATTACTTATTAAAGTAAGCATATAAAAGCAGTGAAACAAATTTATGACTTATTTTTCCTCTTCTTATAGTTTGTAAGGGACATTATGGCCAACATATGCCTGTTTGAATAAAAAGCATTTTATGTAGAAGACTAATTGGGAAATTACTACTATGATGTACATCATACTGCCACAAAAATATAAATAATAAAACATAAATTTATCCAACCATAACATTTACTTTAAAGGCGTTATACTTCATGTACCTAAAAAACAAGCGTTTTTCAAAATCAGTAAAATTCCTTTAAAAATCATGAAGTAGAAATATACAAGATTATACTTTAAAAAATTTTTTAATGTATTCAAATGTAGACATCATTTTTAAATAGCCTTTTCTACTTATTTACTTCTATTGATCCTGGCAATTTTCTCTAAAATTTGAAATTAATCTCAGTATGGATATATAGAGATTATATATAGAGATTAATTTTCATAAAGTTAATATTGGTAGATATTAAAAAGTTAATATATAAGATAAAGTTATTAGTAATACTCTTAAAAGTGAACAAACTAATAGTTGTGAAGCAGTAAGTGGTTTTATAACAAAATAGAAGTTATTAAAAAAGGAAAAAAATTCAACCAAATAATACCTTAGTAATACTTCTAGTTCTCTACCAAACTGAGCGCTTAAATTCTTTTTCTAATAGGGTTAACATTTATAGTACTAGACGAAAGCTGAATCGATATAATCTAAAATTAAGTTTAGGGGCTGGGATTGTAGCTCAGTGGTATAGTATGTGTTTATTATGTGTAAGGCTCTGGGTTCTATCCCAGGAATATAAGTTTGTGTGTGTGTGTGTGTGTGTGTGTGTGTGTGTGTGTGTGTGTGTCTTTAGGCTTAACTATATAATAATTTCATTAAAACAATATTCCTAGTATTCTGGAGATTTGTAACATTTATACAAAGTTACAAATCTTCATTTTGAAAAATTAGCCTTAAAAATTAAGATGCTGTTGTATCCCCTTGTTACACTAATTATCTCCACTCACTTGCTAGATAGATACTATTACCAATGAGATAAATGCAGTTAGACTGCACATATCAATTACACAGAAGATTTTAAGTTCAGAGACTTGGGAAATTGCCAAAATATTGGCTATAAAGTAGCCATTCTTAAATGAATGGTAGCTAGAGATCTTAGAACATGTAGTGTGATTGGCCAGTACTCCAATATACATACCAGTTAGAAAGTAGAATCCCTTTGTTGACTGACACAGATCTCAAAACTCAACCTCAAAGGCTCGAAAGTCTAGAAAAGAAGTTAAGGAGGATAAAAGAAAAATAGAAAGACTAATAGAAGTACCAGAGCACACAGTAAGAATTAAAGAAAGGAGCTCCATTGACAGCATCAGTAGACAACAGAAGAAAGCAAAAGTGAGGGAGAAAACTTTGAGGCAACTAGCCTTTCTAGCTTACCTCCTCCACTACCCTACCCAGTATCCTAGTTTTTGTGGGGTTTTTTGTTTGTTTGTTTGGCAATACCGGAAATTGAACTCAGGACCTTGTACTTGCAAGGTAGGCATGGTGCCACAGAGCTAAATCCCCTCCCTCAGTATTCTAGTTTTTGAGGGCAACTGGAGTAAGGGTAAAGCTAAGACAACTCTGACAGCCCTGAAAGCATCATTATATTATGGAACACCACACTAATCTTCTTACAGTGACCTTCTTTGAGTTTTAAGAAAAAGGTGACATGCTTAAGGTACTCATTGTACTCCCTTTCATTGTAAAAGTTACATGTCATTCTACTTATGTGAGATTTATTTTTCAATTATGATGAGATAATGCATGACAGGAAAAAAAAACTCAACTCCAGATAAGCAAAATTCTCAGCACTCTAGGAGGCTGGGACAAGAATATCATAAGTTTGAGCCCAGGCTGGGCAACTTAGTGACTTAGTGAGATTCCATCTCAAAATAAAAAATAAAAGAAAGGCTGGAGTTGTAGCTCAGTAGGAAGGCCTTGGGTTTAATCTTCAGTTCCACAAAAAGAAAAAAGAATATGAATGTGGGTGGGGATGTAACTCAGTAGTGAATGCTTACATAGTATGCACAAGGCCCTGAGTTTGATTCTTAACACTGCTAAGAAAAAAAAAAAATTGGCATGGTGTCTAGCCTCTTACAAGTAAAGTTTTTTCTAAATACAGTAGTATACCTGAAAAAACTAGAATATGCATGTTCAAGTTTTCATTTCCTACGATATAGTAATTATAACAGTTTTAATTATAAGCATAATTATTTTTTAAACCCAAA